GGCGGAAGGTAACGGGCCTGCAGGGTGGGTGGGTAGGTGGGAAGGGGAGGGGGGGAGGGGTGGGGGCGGGGGGCGCCGCACCGGGCGCAAGGGGGGAGCATGGGGCGGGCGGCCGGAGCCCGCAGCCCCGGCTGGGAGCTGGGGCCGGGACGCAGCCCGGGGCAGGGGCGGGGCGGCCGGGGCGGGGCAGCCGGCGGGTCTGGGATTGGGGGTCTGGGCCAGGGGAGGGGTCTGGGTACCCGCCGGAGGGGCGTGGGCGACAGGAGTGGGCGCTTCCCCCACCCATCCCAGGCCTGTCCCCTCGCGCGGGCGCGCTCGCTCTTTAAGTCTGGACACACGGGGATGGGGGTGGTGCCTCGGGTGCCCGCTCCATGGGGTCCTGAGACCCTCCGCAGGGGCTTCCTGGACCGCCGGTGTGGCTGAGTTGGAAGGTGCCAGGGCTCCACCGAGGGGCCCGGTACACTCATGCCTCCGACTATGCAGCTGAGCCACCTACTGTGCGCTCCTGCTGGCCTGTCCCTGGGAAGTGGCCGCTGACAGTGGACTGAAAGGCTGTGAACTCGGCTCTTGCCGACAGTGTGTGCGCGTGCGACGGGGAATCAAGCACCCATCCTCCTGCCAAGTACCCCGCCTTGCCTGTCTCTCCTGTCTCGCTCAGTCTCCAAGAAACCCTGAGAGAGAAATGTCTCCTTCTCCCCCTTCAGCCCCTGCTCCCCCACCCCACCCCATACAGATACACACCCACGCTAGCCTGAAACTTGGGAAGAACCAGGAGCCACCTATGTGGGAGAGCCCAGAAGTCCCTGGCAAGGGACCCCGGGGTTCTGCCAACCCCCAATGCAGCAGGCATATGGGTCAAAAATAACGACTCTCAGCGGCTTTTCCTGGGGAAGAGAGACTTCATCCAGGCCGCTAGCTTTTCTCTCGAGTCCCATTATTTGTGCACTTGAGGTAATTTACACACCTACTGTATACTAGACAGGGTCTGGTGCTTTGTGTCAACTGGGGCAGGGGAAGTGCCAAAAGAGGAGGTATGGACTTGTCTAAGCCTTTCCCAGACCTTCATTGCTTTCCCCTCCCTGGGGCAGAGGTGGGGAGCTTCTGGAAACCCTGAGCCATAGTGCTTCTTCGGAAGCAGCTTGGGTGGGCAGAGGTGCCCTAGGATAGGTACTTTTGAAGAGCAGGTGGAGCTGCTGATGCCCAGCCAAGGTGCTGCCTTTGACCACACCTCCCCTGCCCTACTGGCCCCTTCATGTCCTTGGGGGTTGGGCTGGAGGGGTTGGGTGGTCTCAGGAAGCCATCAGGCCAGAGGCAATAAGTAAGCAGGCCCCTTTCCAACAGCACAGCCAAGTTCTGCCTACCTCCCCTTTTTCTTTGCCCTACTTCCCCCCACTCCCAGCCATAATGTTAACAATGAGCAATGTACAGATGGGAAAACAGAGTCAGAGGACTTGTCCCAAGATCTCATCCCTCCTCAGAGGAGTGGACTTCCTGAGCCCACCTTTTACCCCCTCTGTTCACTCAGCTGGCTTTTGCCCAGACCTCCAGGCAAAGACCATGCCCTACTAACTCAGAATTTGCAGCTCCTTGCCCCAACAGGTTAATAATCATAAGCACTACCATTTATTGAGCGCTTATATTTGCTAAAGGCTGGGCTTGCTCTATCTCCTCTGAACCCCATTGGGAGATGGTCCCATTGAGTAGGGAGACAGGTGAGGTGGGCTCCAGTGCCTACAACCCAGACCAGCCCTTTTTCTTTATTTCACTCCTCCCTGTTAGAGGCCTGCAGGACACCTGTTTAGTGTTTATGTCCCCAGCTGCACTGTTTCAAGCAGGCATGATACTCACCATTCTAACCTCATGCTTGCACATAGTAGGTCCTTGATAAAGTTTATTTGCATACATCAATTAATGAATGAGTGGAGAGATGGAGAGCAGAGGATGAGAAGGGCTTTCTCCCAACCAGGGACTCAGCCCTCTGAAAATAGTCTGATGGGAACAGGGAGCAGAACCCAGGCATCCAGTCCATCCTTAGTGTGTTGTGCATAGTCCAGGAGTCACAACCAGAGGCACTCTGGGCACCAGCCCTTCCCTGGTATGGGGGTGAAAGCCAGAGCTTCTGGCTCAGGCCAGGGTGTAATCAGGGTTCTGGAGTCCTCAGGAGGTTCTGAAGGCCCTGGGCTGAGCCTCAGTGATCTTAACTCACCCCCCCCCCAAGATGGGCATCTGGGGCCTAAAAGTGTGGAGATCAGGGTTTTAGTCCTACACCTTAACCCTCCACCAAGGTCCTTCCTCTACAGGACCAGAATTCCTTTATATTTGGAGAACTTCCCCTGAACTTTGTCCTCCTCAATTTGGGGGAATTCATCTCATCTCCCCAAAAGTCTGTGTCTCTAGAGGGGGGCAGATAGGGACACATCCTAACCAGGCCCCTGGTATTGCCTGAGCACACTCTGTGAGTGACAGATGCAAATATTCCTTTGGGTCCCAGCAGGCACTCTCTCCCTCCCTCACTCCCTTGCTTGCCTCCCAGCCAGCTCGCTCTTTCCTTTATCTTATCAAAGCCCCGTAATTACAATTGCTATTTTGTTTCCTCGAATCTGCAATCAGAGCTCCCTGGCCCTGATGAGGGAGCGCCTGTCAACCTGATCGCTGAGTGACAGCCCCGCCACCTTTCCCGGACGCCCCCACAATTCGAAAACACAAATACTCTCTCTCTCTCTCTCTCTCTCTCTCTCTCTCTCTCTCCCCCCCCCCCCCTCTCTCCTACAAACACAAACACACTCCTCACCAACACAAACAGCTTCTCTCGCAAACACGCCCTCGCGGAGACCCACACACACACCTTCAGCCTCTTTCCAAACTTATCCCTCACCCCGGAGCCCACTACAGACCCTCAGATCCACACCAGTTTGAGCGGGCGGCCAGTATTACTGACTCTAGCTCCATCGCGTGCCTCCTGTGCCCTGCGTTCAAAGCACCGCGGACTCTCTGCCCACTGTTCAAATGCAAATTGTCGAGACTGGGTTAAGCACCTTGGACACTGAGAGTCGTCCCCCATATCCCCACCAAAGGCAGGCCTGCCCTTCCTCCAGTGGTCTGCAGACCCCAGTGTAAGCCTTCATCCCTCAGCGCTCCGGGGCTGGAAGGCATTGGCAGCGCTCCTACTGTGTGCCGAGGGTGCAGAAAGGGGGATCCGGAAGAGACCTGGGGGAGGAGGATGAAAAAATAATTCCTAGCTCTATCTGCGGGGCACCTGGCCAGCCGAGAAACTCCTGGACGAAGGGGCAGATGTGGATTGGGCCCCCACTGCGGGCAGGAGTGCGCTAGGCGCGGGCAGGAAACTCACTCGCGGAGATCCAGAGACAAAAGTCAAGGCACACAATGAGCCACCAGCGGTGTCGCAGGAGATAAATATTTGAGTGGAGCCACACGCAGGGGGTAGGCTGGGTCAGCCTTCCCTTTCCACTCCCAAGAGATGACTTTTCCCAGAATCCAGCGGGTATCCTGCGCCTCCAACCATTCACATGCGGAGGGCTTTGGAGGCCGTAGGGAAGAGCTCTGAGCTCTAACAGGAGCTCTTCCAGTGAATGATGATGGATGAACAAACGAATGAAGTCGGCCTTAGTAAGTTACTCCCTCGCCTTCCCGCTGAACTTCGGCGGCCCAGACCTCTTGTGAGGCACGTGGCCTCTGCACGCCTAAAGCCCCTTAAAGAGGAGACGTGGGGTAGCAACACAGCCACAGGCGGTTTCAATCTCGCCCACCAGAGGGCACCAGCTTCCCCTTCCCCCTTCCTCTCTACCCCGTGCTGCGGGAAGGTGACTGGTCTCAAGCCTGGCTGAGCCCCTCCACCCTGGTTCCTGGTGGAAGCACTTCAGGAAAGTCCTTCTGGGGAGGAGAAAGGGGCCTGCGACCCCGATCACTACAAAACACAGAGGAATCATCTTCCATTATCTTCAACTTGAGGAAAAAGGGAGGTTAAAAAATGGACCTCTTTTCTCCTCACCACAGAGGGGGGGGAACTCCTTCTAGGGATATTGAAGAGGGAGTGCTTTCCAGAGACATACTCTCCAAAGCTTACCTCAGCTGGCCCAATACCATCCCCTCCAAGTTATCTAGGGACCCCTCTTACTTGCTCACTCATTTGTGGGAGGGAGAGGGCCTGGCCCTACCAGACACTGTTCTCTGTCCATCCTCAGCATGTCTAGCCCCAGGATATCTCAGGAGGTAACCTTTTATTTGTTTGTTTGTTTGTGGGCATTGAGACACCCCCACCCCATCAACACAGCTGCTGAACTACTGACCCCAGAGTTAGTCACTTACACATCAGGCACATCCCTCTCTCCTTGGCATATCAGCAGCCAAGCCCCAGAACCAGAGACCCCAGACCAGGTGTGTGTGTGTGTGTTTGGGGGTGGGGGGGGGCAGAAACTCCTTAACCCAGGAGGCTGAATCCCAGGGGCTCCTCTCTGCCCCCATATGCCAGGCCACCCGGATTCTGGTTTCCCTGTCACCCAATCTGGCCAGCCCCCTCCATCTGGTCCCTGGAATCAGGTTTCTAAGGGCCCAGACCAGCACAGAGACAGTCTGCAAGACTAGGAGGAGGAGCAAAGACTGGCCTCCTCCCTACCCTGAGACTCTTCATGGGGTTAGAGATGCACATTCCTTGGGCTGCTTAAACCCCCTTATCTGTCCCCTGCCCATCAGCCTGAGTGCTGACAGAGGCCCAGACCCCTTGTTTGGATGCTGATAACCTCCTGGGATTGCCCTCCCCCACCTGTAGTAACTGGGAATGGGTTTGGTGTTGGGAGGTCCTCTTTTAGCAAGGCAGTTTGGGCCTAGGCCTGGCCTGAGCAGGATCCTATATTTCTTCACCCTCCCCCAGGCCTGGGGCCACCCTCAGTGCTGCCACAGTGCCACCTGGTGGTCCCTAGGGGAATGCCACCCTAGCAGGGAGAGAAGCCACACAAATAGTTGCAAAAAAAACTCTACACCACTTTATTTCACCCTTTATCCCAAAATGTAATAAGTGTTTAAAATGTGTAGTCCTGAGCTTCAGATGCTGACCTCCAACCTCAAAGGCAAGTAGGGAGAGAGGTCAGGACAGTTCAGAGTTCCTCCCACTCCTGGAGAAAAGGGAAGCCCTAGGCATGGTATAGAATTATACCAGGACCATATGGAGAATGGCTCCCTTTTCTCCTAGCCCAAGACTCTGCCCCCACCCCACCCCTCCTCTTCAATGAAGACATTTTAAATTCTTGATAGTTGTACAGCAACGTGGTGCATGGCATGTATGGCAGGCAGCTAGCTGACCTGAGGAGAGCAAAGAAGAGATCAGCATCTAGGTCCTTATCCACTCTGTCGGGCCTCCCAGACCCTGCTGGGCACCCTGCCCTCCCACTCACCAAGGAGGGCTAGGACCTGCCCCTCTGCTTCTTAGCAGGCAGGATGGGGCACAACTCAGCTTCCTCCGCCTTTTCACTCCCCTCTTCTTCCTCAGAAACATCACTGCTTACAGTAACTGGTGTATACACAAGTAGTAAAGGAAGGGAGAGGGTTAAAGCCAGATCTCTTTCATACCACAGGTCATTTATTCATGCACTGTGGTGCTAGGCTTCCCTGAACACCCTCCCACCCCTCACCCCCCCGCCGGAGTTAATGGTCTAGATGGGAAGAACCTCAGATACTAAACTGGGTGACAAAGAGCCAAAGGATTACACATCACTGGAGCTGAAGAAGTTGGAAACGGTTCCATGAAGGAGGTAGGCATGAGTAGGACAGAGAGTGGAGGACACATCATGCAGAACCTGTATGGCAGCTACACTGGGAGATAAGGCTGGGATGGGGCAGAAGTGTGGAGTGGGGGGTGGGGGGGCCCTGATAGAGAGTCCACTGAAGAAGGCAAAGGAGAGGACTCTCACCAATCTGGTGCCGGCCAGTGATCCGCACAGGACCAGAACCTGACCTCAGGCGGAAGGTTACAGGAGGCTGGAGCTGGAAGTCATCCAAACTGAGCTGGAAGACAAGGATGAAGGCCTAGCCCACTCCTGCCCTCCTCTTTTCCCTCCCTCTCCCCCCAAGGTATGGCCAGGGAACTCACCATGGGTTGACACGACAACTTGAGGTTGGCCACAGGGACTGCAATCTCCTGGTGGTCATGGTTTTGGGCCACAATCTCTACCACATTACATTCATCTTTGGCCCCCTCGGTGAGGCAGAGCTGGGAAAGGTACACAAGGCCTTGAGGTCTCCCCAAGCAAGTGTTGACACCACAGTAGAGGCATCTACCCTAGAACTTGCCCAGCCTCAGGGGTCTCTGAACTACCTGGCAGAGGGTTTGGGAAGAGGAGGTGACTCCCAGTAAAGGAGAGGTTGGGGACCAAGAACAGGAAAAGGCCCACCAGTTGCCTTGCTCAGGCCAAGCTATTCATCGCCACCCCCTTCCCCACCCCTCACCATGGTTAAAGCCAGCACGTGCTCCGCATCATCTTCTTCCTCTACCTTGAAGGTGAAAGAACGGGTGTGGCCTGAGAGCTCACAGCCTGGAAGAGAGAATAGGGAGTGTACCTAGATGTGAGTGTGCATGTATGTGGGGGGAAATGGGGCGTTTCACCGAAACTCCATCACGTGTGGCCATGGGCTGACCACCATCTATCTACACGCCCACTTCTCCAGAACACATGGGGCGCTAAGCCCTGAGCCCCACCCGGCATATCTGGGGCAAGGGTCTCACCCCCCACTTCCGCTCCAGCTGCCGCGTGCGAGCCCTCCTCCGCCCCACCCACGTCGTGTACCCATCTGCATTCCTGTTGCTTGGGCCTTCCTCTTACCGCCCCAGGACTACCCTCATCCCCTCCTTTTTCAGTACCGAAGAAAAAACTGTCCACAGTGACCGGAGCTGGGGCCCGCAGCCCCACAACACCCCCTGCCCGGGCTCGGCTCTCCTGACTTAAAAACGCTAAAGCGGCGGCGGCGCCGGCGGCCATGCTGCAAGGTCCGCCTGGGAACTCCGCCTCCGACACGTACAAAGGAGGGAACTCCGGCCGGCTCTGGCCCCGCCTATTAAAGGGAACGCTAGCCATTGAAAGAGAATCCGAGACACCGCAGGCCCAGGGTTTCTGTGCCCAACCTCGCCCAGGATCCCGTGGCCTCTGCTCAGACCAGTGGGTCGAGATCGCAGAAGCATGGCTTTGGGATTAATGTCCCGTTCTTGCTCATTATAATAACCAACGCTTTCAGAGGGCGGCCCCTACCTCTACTTTCTCCAGTTCCTCACACCTAGTGTCTCCCTCTCTTCCAACCCAGGGTAAACTTCCGTCAAAGGGAAACTAGGTATAAAAATGGAAACCTTTCCAATTCCCCCAGCAAACGTGTTACAGGGCAGAAATTTTATAAAAGCAAAGGAAATGCGCTCAGATTTGGGTTTATATGTACACACACACACACACACACATATAAATATATACTTTTTTTTTTTTTCTTTATTGCTTTTAGGGACATAAGCATCGATGAGAGAGAATATCAATTGGCAGCCTCCTGCATGCCTCTCACTGGGGTTTGGGCCCACAACCTGGGCATGTGCCCTGACTGGAAACCAAGCCGGCGATCTCTTGAACGCATGGATCTTCCCTCAACCATTGAGCCACACCAGCGGGGCACTCAGATTTGTCTTTGCTCCAAGTGAGCTGGGGAGCCTGATGTGACTTTTAGCTCCGGGAATCTTGTTCCCTAATCACTCCATCCTCTCCTGGATATGCTTCCTGTTCCAAGGACCTTGCAACTTACTATCCAGATGACATATCTTCACTGAGCTTCAGATGCTGGCTGCATGCTGGTGCTTGATAGCAGAGAACCAATTCCTGTTCCTGGCAGACACAAGCTTCCGAGCTGGTACTTCCCCATCAGCCCAGAACCATCCTTCCACCTTGGACTCCACTGTCACAATTTGGGTTTCTCCCCCAGTCTTTTAACGTTTGACTAAAGAACCTATTTGATGGCAGGAACTCACTCAAACGAGTTGCCCCAATTTACACCCAAGTTGTAACTGGCAAAAGGGTGGCTAGGCCAAGAACTAGTCTACTTTTCTTATCTTGGGCCCTGCCTTGAGGAAAACCTTAAAGTATTTTATTGGCGGTGGGAGGGGAAGAGGACTGCCTTCAAGAGCCAGTCCCTAACTTCAAACAGTTGTGAAAAGGAGGAATACTTGCTTGTAGGTGAGGCATGACAGGAGAAAAGGCAGGAGGCAGAAACAGGAAGTAGGTTTACACAGTACACCACACACATTCACTTCAAGTTTTATTTTGCCTCTTGCATGATCTTCAGATAATTTACAGTCCATTTTCTACAGGAACTGAGCTGTGATCTAAACAATCAAGGAAATGCCATTCCAACCTTAATAAATATTCATAACCATACAAGGTAGCATAGCACTTGACAATCCTAGTGATGAATGTATAGGCCTAGACATCTGTTTCACAGTTAGCATCTGTGACCAGAAGACCAGCCAAAGTTATCAAAAGCCAAGAAAAAGCTACAAGCAATGCTAAAAATCTTGATTCCATAGGAGGTTGACCCTGAAGTCCTCCAGATAAAATGCCACAATTGTCCACTAATGTAAAAAATGTATTCAAGGAGAAAAACCAAGTGACACTAAGCCATTTAAAACAATATCTTGTAGAAATATTCCTTTCACACCTCAGCCCTTGAAAATGCAAACTTGGTCCAAGCTTTCCAATACTCTTATTCTATCAGTTAGAGGTTTCTACCCTGAAAATGAGGTGGCCTCCTTCCTTCCCTCCTTTCATCTCACCTATTCAGTATATACTCATGGGCCTTAGTTAAAAGTCACTAGTGGTACCAATCTAGGTACGTACCACTCTTAAGACTCTCAAAGCACACCCTGATGGAATTCTATGAAGGAAAATGTTTCAAGTTTCCTTCTCCTTGCCCTTTCTCTCTCAGCTCAAAGTTAAACAGCTGACACAAAACTACAGGGAACCTGATAATAAAATACTGCTATGAATCTATGGAGAAGTCAGCCAGCTATGATGAAAAAAAATAAAGAATCCAGCAGATTACCTGCCAGCCTCATGCTTAGAACCCTTAAATACACCAAATCTAAATTAAAATACATGAAGCTTTCAGAATCTGTGGTTAAAAAAAAAAATCATTAAGTCATTGGTTAAAGTATACTCATTCTTTGTCTCTTAAAAATTCGATACAAACATGCAAGAATTAGACTCTGATTTAATAAAACCAGTAGTAACAGGTCTTGAAATTAATGGACAACTGATCTGAGGGCAAATGGGACCAATCAGCCCATGAACCCTACTTGACAGATGTCAAACTAACATTACACATGCTGACCTCCATTGAGGTTAATTTCTAGAAGTGACTGCACTTGCAACAGATTGATTGAGTCCTATGAAGTTAGGCTCTTGTACCCAAAGTGGTTGTGGCCTAGCCCTAGGTGGGAGGCACTTTAAAAATAAAACTTCTAAAAAAAACAAAAATAAAAATAAAAACCACACACACAAAAACAAACCAGAGACAAAAGAAAAATTTACCTTTCACTGATTTACATTATTGAAAGTGCCATCCTGAATCACACCCTTTCAGAAATTTTCAAAATGAAAAAAAAAATTACGAAACAGTAAACATAAAGTAGGCAGATCACAGCTAGTTTATATACAAAAATTTACAGGTTTGTCATTTTTAGGCTTTTGCCACCAACAAGTGCACATTTGTCCCTACAAAGCACAACATGCCTGACCCAATCATCACTACAGGAGACAACTGGCCATGGCTTTACAAATAGCAGAAAAATTGCCCCAAATTGAAAGCATTTATTCAGCTTAAACTATGCCACAACCATCCCACTTGGAATTTCCACCCTGATGCCTCTGAAACCCACTAAATATTTCTCATCATCTCTTCCATGTCCCCAAAAAATGAGACATTTCATTTAATATGCCAAGGAGGATGACAAATGATTTTGATTAAGGTGAGAAATGCAACCACACTGGATGCAGAAAACAGTGCTGACTACATTTATTAAAGACCCCTCCCTATAAGCCCATGTAAGACGTCTTAACACCTAACACAAGACCCAAAAAGGAGGCCCATATCTCTATATCACATAGGATTTGCAGAAGTACTATCTTCCAAACCAGTGAGTAGTCTCAAAGTATGATGAGTGAATTTTACATTGTCTCTTCTTTGTTTCCAATCCCAACTGGCTGATCTGTGGCCGCTCCAGAGGCTGAACTGTATGAAGACCCCAACCACCACCCACCAGGTGAAGTTAAGAGATTTTCGGACAGTTCATAGTGCCAACAAATGTCACAGGCTCCGACCAAGTATAACCACATCCTTAGGAAATCCTTCCATTTTTGCGATTTCAAAACAGCCTAACTTGCTGTAAAATTCCAGAATTCTTTTATCATCTGGTCTCACTTCACAGAAAGCCCCCCGAGAGCCTAGAAATAAAAACAGATAATCAAAATGTTAATTAGTAGAATTATGGATATAAATTGTGACTAATCTTTAATATATTTCAAACAGATCACAGTGGGAGCTTGTCTATACCAGGACCTAAATTTCATACCACAACTTTTTAAATATGTATTAATATTAAATGAATATTAATAGCCATCATTAAATATTGCAATAACTATCTTAAATTATGATTATGTTAACTAGCTTGAATGTGGATATTACTTCACAATGTATTTCAAATCATCAAATTGTACACCTTAATATATACAATTCTTAAATCAAAATATACCTCAAAAAAATTCAACCATCAGTGAAACTCTTCTCCACAAAGAAAACCTTTTGGAGAAGGGCTGTAAAAAATCTCAAAGCAGAGTACCTGTTTAATGTTTTAATATAAAGTACCTCCGAGGGGCTCACAGAGCATAACCTATTCCAGCGTGTGTCATAAGCCAATATAACCAGAATGTGTATAGTCTAAGACATACTTCACATACCCACCTGCGTGATTCAGTTCCAAGCACAGCACTAAGAATTATGCAGAGCTGTTCAAATTACCCCACAAAGGAACAGTGACTCAAATGACACAAAAATGCAACAACTGCACTCTCATGTATCAACATTCCTTTAGTGCAGTGGTTCTCAACCTTCCTAACGCTGCAACCCTTTAATACAGTTCCTCATGTTGTGGTGACCACCAACCATAAAATTATTTTCGTTGCTACTTCATAACTAATTTTGCTACTGTTATGAATCGCCATTGTAAATAAGTGTTTTCCAATGGTCTTAGGCGACCCCCAAAGGGGCCGCAACCCACAGGTTGAGAACTGCTGCTGTAATGAGAGTTCAAAAAGCTGCCCACTTTTGTATTGCCCAAAGGCTGAACTGTTTTTTACATTTTAAAAATATAATTTTTAAATGCCTACATTAGCCAGGATGGCATGGCTCAGTGGTTAAGAGTCGACCAAAAGGTCCCCAGTTGATTCCTGGTCAGGGCACATGCCCAGGTTGTGGGCCTGATCCCCAGTGAGGGGCATGCAGGAGGCAGCTAATCAATGTTCTCTGTCATCCGTGTTTCTCTCTCTCCCTCTCTCTTCCTCTCTCTCTAACATCAATAAAGGGGAAAAAAAAGATTTTTTTTTTAATTAAAAAAGACTGCAACAGAAACCTTATGTGGCCCTTAAAGCCTAGAATACTTAGTATCTGGCCCTTCACAGAAAAAGTCTCCATACTAATGTAAAGACAAGTATTTTTGAAGGTTGAGTTTAGATAAACTCAAAGAAACTGCTGACTCTGCATTCCTAAATAAAATTTCTCCCCACAGTTCATTTAATTTTCAACTATCATTTATGAGTTTCCTGGCAAAATAAATATAACCCCATGTGTTCACTTCTCATTTAATTGAGGCTCAAAATAAGCATTCACCGTGTAAAAGAGCAGCATTTTTCAATGATTAATACTCATGCAAGCCCTGGCCGGTTTGGCTCAGCGGTTAGAGCG